ACCTTTTTTGGCAGTTTTTTTACAACATCAAATTTTCTGCCGTTTTCACATACAAAGTCTGATTTGCACAAAACTTTAATAAATCGTTCATCTCTAGGGTCTAGGCCATTTGAAAGTGAAATAAATTAACTTGGCTCATTAGCGCCACCTACAGATGGGGTCAAAGTTTTTAGTATGGGAGCGTTTTGAGGTCAAGTTTGATGTATAGGCATGAAATTTGGTACACATGTTCCTCTTCTAGAGACATGAAATAAAAGTTATTATGGCCCCGCCCCCTGACAAACAGGAAGCCCATAAATTTCACTTCAAAATGGACAAATGAAACATGATCCTTTTCACATGTGTCGGTTGGAAAGCGGCGACTCCTCGGCCGTTTCACCGATACGCCTCAAAATCGCTCCACATCGTCTAAACACATGTACCGTCATTTTGATTTCACAGACTTTTGATCAGTAAAATGTTGTTTGAGCAACGGAGCGCCAAAAAGTGGCGCATTTTTTTTCAGTTTTTGACAATGAAAAATTGCTTCCGTGTGCACATACAAAGTCTGCTTTGCACAAAACTTGAATCCATGGATCAACTCTTGGGTCTAGGTCATTTGAAAGTAAAAAATTTGAAATTGGCTCTATAGCGCCACCTACAACAGCCAATTTAAAAATGCCTATGGGAGGGGTTCGAGGTCAAAATTGTCGTAAACCCATGTAATTTGGAACACATGTTCCTCAAGTCAAGTCATGGAAAAAATTGTATTATGGCTAAGCCCTCTGACAAACAGGTAGCCCATAAATTTCATTGTAAAATGGAAAAATGAAAACCAATCATTTTCATACACGTCGGTTGGAAAGCGACTCCTCCTCGGCCGTTTCACCGATTGGCCTCAAAATTGTTCCAAATCATCTCAACACATGTACCTTCAAAATGACTTCAGGGAATTTTGATCAGTGAAACGTTGTTTGAGCAGCGAAGCGGCAAAATGTGAGGGTTTTTTTTGGCCGTTTTTGACAACATTCATTTTTTTCCCGTTTGCACAAAGAGAGTCTGATTTGCATTAAACTTGAATCCATTGTTCAACTCCAGGGTTTAGGTCAGGTGAAAGTGAAATATTTGAAATTGGCCCATTAGAGCCCCCTAAAGACTGAGTCAAAGTTTACATGGGGAGCCATACCAGCTCTGCTTATCATATTCCTTACAATTTGACTAACAATCTTCTATGGCTACGGAAACAAATCATCACACGGCGGCGCCACCTCCTTTGCGTAGTGCTGCGTGGTACGGTGTGGTGCGGCGTAGTGCGGGGCGTTGTGGAACGGCGTGTTGCGGCTTGGTGCGGGGCGGCTTGATGCGGGACGGCGTGGTGCAGGGAGGCGTGGTGCGGGGTGGCTTGGCACGGGGTAGTGCGTGCGGAGCGGGGAGTCGCGCGGTCCGGCGAGGGCCGTTCGACGCCGCTTGCGGCTTTAATTTATTTATTTCTTTCTTTCTTTTTTCTTCTGCACTTTGAGCCTTAATTTGACCCCCTGAACATGCATGAAAAGTTGTTAATTTTGGCCCAAAAATCAGACCTGGCGAAAAATTTCATATTTTGGTGTTTATTTTTATGGGACTCAAAAAATGACAGAACAGCGCCACCTACAACAGCCAAAATAATACCCCTATGGGACTTTTCGGAGGTCAAGTTTGTCGTAGAGCCATGAAATTTGGTACACATGTTCCTCAAGTCAAGACAAGAAAAAAATATTATTATGGCCCCGCCCTCTGACAAACAGGAAGCTCATAAATTTCACTACAAAATGGAAAAATGAACAGCAAAAGTTTTCATACATGTCGGTTGGAAAGCGACTCCTCCTCGGCCGTTTCACGGCTTGTCACGGGGTGGTGCGCGCGGTGCGGGGGAGTCGCGCGGTGCGGGGAGTTGCGCGGTGCGGCGAGGGCCGTTCGACGCCGCTTGCGGCTTTAATTTCTTTCTTTCTTTCTTTCTTTCTTTCTTTTTTCTTCTGCACTTTGAGCCTTAATTTGACCCCCTGAACATGCATGAAAAGTTGTTAAATTTTGCCCAAAAATCAGACCTGGCAAAAAATTTGATATTTTGGTGTTTATTTTTATGGGACTCAAAAAATGCCAGAACAGCGCCACCTACAACAGCCAAAATAATACCCCTATGGGAGTTCTGAAGATCAAGTTTGTTGTAGAGTCATGAAATTCGGTACACATGTTCCTCAAGTCAAGACAAGAAAAAAATCTTAGTATGGCCCCGCCCTCTGACAAACAGGAAGCCCATAAATGTCACTGCAAAATGGAAAAATGAACAGCAAAAGTATTCATACATGTTGGTTGGAAAGCGACTCCTCCTCGGCCGTTTCACCGATTCGCCTCAAAATCGCCCCACATCATCTCAACACATGTACCTTCAAAATGACCTCAGGGATTTTTGATCAGTGAAACATTGTTTGAGCAGCGGAGCGGCAAAATGTGACCTTTTTTTGGCCGTTTTTGACAACATTAAATTTGCTCCCGTTTGCACAAACAAAGTCTGATTTTCACAAAACTTTAATACATTGTTGAACTCTAGGGTCTAGGTCATTTGAAAGTTAAATGATTCAAATTGACACATTAGCGCCCCCTACAGACTATTTCAAAATTTTAAATGGGCATTTTCAAATTTAGTTTTTTCAAAATGTTTGAAATTTTGCACATACATCTGTTTTGCCCTCTTGATTCAAAAAGTCAATAGGGTCCAAGGCTTATTTTTAACCCTGTTGCCGTGGCGACGACAAACGCTCCCCATTCATTGCAAATGTACACCTCACACAAACATCAAACCAGCCTCGGCCGTTTCACCGATTCGCCTGAAAATCGCTCCACATCATCTCAACATATGTACCATCAAAATGACTTCAGGGAATTTTGATCAGTGAAACGTTGTTTGAGCAGCAGAGCGCCAAAGTGGCGTATTTTTTTTCAGTTTTTGACAATAGAATATTTTTTTCCGTTTGCACAAACAAAGTGTGATTGGCACAAAACTTGAATCCATGGTTCAACTCTTGGGTCTAGGTCAATTGAAAGTTCAAATTTTGAAATTGGCTCTATAGCGCCACCTACAACAGCCAATTTAAAAATGCCTATGGTAGGGGTTCAAGGTCAAAATTGCCGTAGAACCATGTAATTTGGTACACATGTTCCTCAAGTCAAGACATGGAAATAATGTAATTATGGCTAAGCCCTCTGACAAACAGGAAGCTCATAAATTTCATTGCAAAATGGAAACATGAAAACCAATGATTTTCATACATGTCGCTTGGAAAGCGACTCCTCCTCGGCCGTTTCACCGATTGGCCTCAAAATTGCTCCAAATTATCTCAACACATATACCTTCAAAATGACTTCAGGGAATTTTAATCAGTGAAACGTTGTTTGAGCAGCGGAGCGGCAAAATGTGAGGTTTTTTTTGGCTCTTTTTCACAACATTAATTTTGCTCCTGTTTGCACAAACAAAGTCTGATTTGCGCAAAACTTTAATCCATTGTTCAATTCCAGGGTTTAGGTCAGGTTAAAGTGAAATATTGGAAATTGGCCCATTAGCGCCCCCTACAGACTGTGTCAAAGTTTACATGGGGAGCCAAACCAGCTCTACTTATCATATTCATTACAATTTGACTAACATTCTTCTATGGCTTCGGAAACAAATCATCACACGGCGGTGCCACCTCCTTTTAGCGGTGCTGCGTGGTACGGTGTGGTGCGGCGTAGTGCGGGGCGTTGTGGAGCGGCGCGTTGCGGCTTGGTGCGGGGCGGCTTGGGGCGGGGCGGCTTGGTGCGGGGCGGCGTGGTGCGGGGAGTGCGCGCGGTGCAGGGAGTCGCGCGGTGCGGCGAGGGCCGTTCGACGCCGCTTGCGGCTTTAATCATATTCATTACAATTTGACTAACGATCTTCTGTGGCTACGGAAACAAATCATCACACGGCGGCGCCACCTCCTTTGAGCGGTGCTGCGTGGTACGGTGTGGTGCGGCGTAGTGCGGGGCGTTGTGGAGCGGCGCGTTGTGGCTTGGTGCGGGGCGGCGTGATCGGGGACGGCGTGGTGCAGGGCGGCGTGGTGCAGGGTGGCTTGTCACGGGGTGGTGCGCGCGGTGCGGGGAGTCGCGCGGTGCGGCGAGGGCCGTTCGACGCCGCTTGCGGCTTTAATTATCTATTACTTTTGTTATAGATACTGTACATTTGGATTTTACTGCTCTACAATTCTATGGCTCGTACTATCTGTAATGTTTAACAATGCTGTCTGTACGGACTACCCGTGAACGCACCAGATTCTCTGCCAACATACGCGTGAGCCGACAAGCGGTAAGATGCAGTAACACGTCTGTACTGTATTAGGACAGGGTGCAAAGTAAACGTACAAACACAACCCATCGGTCTCATCATTTAGTGTCAGTAAACACATAACTGTCCTCTACACTTCTCCCTAGACCTCACAGAGACAGCAGCAGCCGCGACTCTGCAGCTGTGTACACAGCCGTGATACGCGACCCTTCTACTACAAAAAACAACGCAGAAAGTAAAGCGATAACGGTAATAGCGATCACAATCACTGACATGTAGAGTCGCAGGGGATTAGTAATCATTAGTGATCAATAATCATCCATTTTAACAAAACTTCTCTAAATAAGGACAATTAAAAAACACTGTTCAAACCATAGACTGAATCAGTCTATGGTTTGCTGATCAGAGCAGCGGTAGAGCGTAGCCAGAGCGGGAAGACAAAGAGCAGAGTTTGTGGCAGGAAAGTGTGGGTTTAAAGAAAAAAGAAAAAAGAAAAGGATTTAAGAAGAAAAAAAGTTCAGGATGACAAGGGACACTAAATTCCCCACAAAACCCGACCTTTATGAAAGCTGTAGGTTCTCTGTCAGCTGAGGTTGAGCTGTTTTAATTTACATTGAGTTCTATGAGACTTTTTTCTGGGTATCCCGCGTGTATGTAGTCTGCAGTACCACAGGGGCCTCCTGTGCCCATGGGTGGGACAGCTATTGACCCCTTGCATGTGACCTCCCGGCCACGCCCACATGTGCTCTTACTACTGTGCTGTATGTGCGCTGCAAGATATAAAGAATAAGAAGAATAAGAATAAAGGATATCATGTTGCGTTTTTCACTCTTTTCCTCTCTGTCAATATGTATCATGTTTGGCTGTAGACAGAAAAGTGGATTGCTAAGGCTACCAGCAAAATGTACATTTAAATCTGCTCCAGTGTAAGGGGATGCATTGTTAACGACACAATGAAAAAGATCAAGTGGGGATGAATACGGGCATAATTGGACATGCAATTTCATCAATAAAATTGACTACAGGGAGAAGGTACGGGTCAACATCCAGTTCGGCGATCCTTAACTTCTCCAAATACCGCTCTTTGTGATCCCTGACAAGATGTCCTACTTTCACCGATAACGTATTCGAACATATGCTTGAAGCAGCCACTTCTTGATTTAGGAGAGGAGTCATGTTTTTAAGAGTTGGAGGCCGTTTTGCTCCGTTTCCGCTCCGCATCAAACCAAGTCTTTGCGAAGCACAGGTGCGAGAGACGGGAGGAGGGAGAGAGGGAGAGAGAGACGCAAGGACCGAGAGAGACGCAAAGAGAGAGACGCAAAGAGAGAGAGACGCAAGGAGCGAGAGAGACGCAAATAGCGTGAGAGAAAGAGACGCAAGGAGCGAGAGATGCAAGGGGAGAAAGAGAGACGCAAGAAGAGAGAGAGAAACGTGAGGAACATAAACAAGAATTAAACAAGTTGCAGAACTTATGAGCAGTGTTAAATCAGTGTTTTTCGGGGAAGCATTTTTACGCAGCTCTAGTACATTTTCAATATAAAACACAGACACTGACAGACTCCTCCCCCGCAGCCGGACTAACCTCGTTGGTCCAGTCTTGTCTATATTGTGTGTGAGTGCACTCAGCACGAGGGGGGAGGGTCTGGGGGGAGGCACGTATGAGCGCTGCCTCACCTCGTCTCTTTGAATAGGAAAAATAGGATTTCAGCAATTTTGTCTACAGAAATGAACAAAACTGTTCGGAAACAGGCCGAAAATACTTTATAAGCATAGGACAATGGAAAACAATTATATATTTTGACTAGATATTAATAATTATTTTTTCAATGATGGCAGGTGAGGCTCTGCCTCCCCTGACTGCACGTCACTAAGCACGACCCATCACTAGTATCCTGAATGTTTTTATTTTTGAGTTTTTGTGAATTGAATCATATATATTTTTAACATTTTGGGTCCTTCTTCCTTTTTGAAATGTGACACTTTGGACCAATATTGCACACTTTGTCCCCAATTTTCTTGCAATTTCCAAAGTAAAAGTGAATGTTGCTTTGCAGAGTAGTAGAGGACATAATTGTGAACAAGTGTGCAGTGAGAGTATAGTCTCAAAACTCTTTCAGACAAAAAAAATTAAAAGTTAATTTTAGTCCCGATGGACCAATACCTAATGTGTTCTATATTTGTTGTGTTTTAACTGTTGATTCTCTGATCTGTGTTGATAATTTCAACTCTGAGATGACTACCGTTGTGATTTTGGGCTATACAATAATACATTGAATTGAAATTGAATTTTGTAATACATTACTCCCAATATTAATTAATATATACAGTCTATGCTCCCAACACTGGCCATTCAACAACAACAAAATCATTCGAATATTTAGTGTGATAGCAGCAGAGGGCGCTCTTCTATATGTTACGCCCTACGTCACCGTCACGTGTGCGGAAGTATTTTCGAAACATCATCGCGGGGCGCTGTGTGTACGTTTGATAGGTGTACTGTAGTCTATGCGGATCTGTCCTCGTATCCAGTGAATATAAACCTGGCCCTGTCCTCTCTCTGTCTCTGCAGTGTGTCCGGACCCCAATGGCGGCTCCTCTGCTGGACTATGAGACGGAGATGTTCCTGGGGCTGTTTGAAGCGGACGGGCTGCTGGTGGTCGCGGAGGGGCTGGGAATAGACCGTGTCTTGCTGCACTTCTTGCGGGTGTACTGTGGACCGGACAGTCTGGTCCTGCTACTCAACACCAGCCCCGCGGAGCAGGTCAGTTTGGGATAGGACTCTTCTTTATCAGTGCTCTCCATCACAGACTTCGGTGAGCTCTTCTAACTCTTAGATCAGTTTGCTCAAAAGTGAGCGCAGCTTTCATGTTCTTTCATTATAAACCGCCTTTGCCTCCGCGGGATCATTTTTGGTTTCTGAGGAATTATTTGTGATGTCTGTATATAACTTACAGAACATACGAAGGACACGAAGACAGGAGGTGATTCAAATGTCCCGTTTATTGCAGACTTAACTGAGAATTACGTGCATATTAGGGTTGGGCGATATGGGCCTCAGCATGTATCACGATTTTTGTTAGTATGTATCACAATATGACCATATGATAATTTCAACAAAGCCTTATATAAAAGCTATAAAAACTTAACACTGATAATAAAAAAAACACTTGCCTCAAATTGTAAAGTGCATTTACTGTTTTATTGGCAGCAAAATGTGCAATACAGCTAGTGCATTTTGTATTTGTAAAACTTAATAACAAAACTGAGAATTCTGTAGAGAAAACTGAAAATTGCAGGCATCATGTAACAAAGCTGAACATTTGAACATTCTCAAATAACTGAACTCAACATGAGATTTGACTTTCACATCAAGGCAACTATGGTTGGGTTTTCAGATTTTTGGTCAAGAACACCAACATATTAACTGTGCTGGGTTTCAGTAGTGTTCTTTGGCATGTCACCACGTTGCCACTAGAACTAAACACTCTCTCGGACGGTGTACTTGTTGCAGGAATGCACAAATACTTCTTTGCCAAACGACTAACAAAGGGAAAATTAACTTGATGTAACTTCCACCATGTCAGAGGATTGGACTCACCATCCACCAGTTGGCCTTGCAAATAGCTGTCTAACTCTACAACCAATTTTTCTCTATCAGAAAGACGGCCCATGTCTGACTCTGTAGCAGCATGTGGTTTCTTGAAAAAGCTCCCAAGGCTTTTTCTTTGCTTTTTTTGTGCACTATTTTCCTTTTCTGATGATTCAGGGATAGTAGAGCTGGTGTGACTTGGTGATGTAGCAGCAGATAAAGATTCCAGTTCTGTGACTGCTCTGCATTTGAAGGCCTGGATTTCTGTTTGACTCAAATACTGAAGGCGAAAACGTGGGTCAAGAACTGTTGCCATGTTGATCAGGTCTTGAACCTCTGATCCACTCTACTTTTTGTTCAGGTATGCAGTTATTGAACCTTTAATTGTCTGTGTGAGTTCTGAATCACCCTCTTTCCTTATCAGTAGCTCACTGTTGAAGAGATGAAGAGTAGGCTTCAAGCAGGATACAGTCACATAATTCTCAGATGATAAAGCGTCAGTGCTTTATCATCCCAGTGCTTTACAGACAGAGTCCAAAACATCTAGATTTTGCCATGAAGGCACCAGATGCCTGGTGGACCGGTCAGCTGCAAGGACTTTGGTGATGGCTTTCTCTTGCTCAAGCAGCCGTTGAATCATCTTCTGCCTCGATCCCCACCGTGTTACCGATTCTGTAACTAACTTGTGCTGGGGAAGGCCTAGTTCATCTTGTGCTTTCCTGAGTGCTTGCTGTCTTTTCCAGCTATGGGAGAATCCTCCAATAATCTTCCGACAAGTTCCCACTGCTTTGTCTATCCTGGTGTCCTTCATGCTCGTCTCTGGAAAACAAAATGAAAATGAATGCAAATATAGTTTCTATTGTGTTAATAGATCCAATTAATTGCATTAGATTTATTTAGCTACATCTTATTTATAATATCATATAAACTGTAAACTATATTAAAGTTGGTCCTTTGTAATATAAAAAGTGTAGCATTATCAAATAATTATTTGATCACTTTGGCTTATGTTTTCTAATCCCAATATAGTCAAAATTATCAAATACTGCATTAAGTATGCTGTATTTATTTTTGTATTTATGCGTTTCTATAATTATGAAATTATAACTTATTTGTAATTATATTGCATTGAAGACAAACACATGCATTGAAGTAAAATTAATGACGGTAAACAGTAAAGACAGCTTACCAATGGCACTGTGCAGAGCGTGTCCGAAGCAAGCCAGTCGAGTCCAGTCGTTTAGGGCAGCTGCTTTCACAACATTGGATCCACTGTCTGTAGTCACGCACACTTGCTTCTTTTCATCTAGTTCCCATTCCTGGAGAAACTCTTTCAACGCACTTGCTATATTTTCACCCGTATGTTCTTCAGGGAAAAAACTTGTTTGGAGGCAGGATGATTTTAAAGTCCAGTCACCGGTGATGTAGTGGACGGTGAGACTAATGTATGGTTCAGTCGCACGGCTACTCCACATGTCTGTGGTGGAGGCAAAAAACTCCACTGGAGTAATCTCTGTCCTGAGTTTTTCACGGCAGTCGTTGTACATCGCTGTAACGCTGTTTTTGAAAAATACTTCCGTGAAGGCATCTTTACCTTTGATCAAATTTACGGAGGAGGCAATTAAATCCCTCCTTTTCCACGGAGTATAAAGGCATCATATCCTTAGCTAAATAATATGACACTGCATCAGTCAGTTCATGCCATCGCTTGCCTTTTGTATCGTAAGGAGTGCCATGTGCAAATGCGCTGTGAATTTTTGATTGAGTGAGTTTTGATGTCGATGTATCATCCCGCTTCTTCATACACTCTTCGTACTCCACTCTGTGCTTTCGCTTGAGATGATGGAACAAATTCGTTGTGTTTCCACCTTTGGCCACCACAACACATTTGCAGACTTTGCACAATACTGTCGCTTGCTCAACGTCTGCTTTACTGAACCCAAACCACTCCCATATGTTGGAGGTAGCTCCCCGTTTTGGCACAATGTCTTCAAAAATCTCCGTGTCTTCACTGCCGCCCTCTGCCATGTTTGTTCTCTGCTCTGTTGTTGCTGTCTCTCTGCGCGCCGCTCTGCTACACGTGTGCCGCAGATGCGTCATCAAAGTGCGCCGCAAATGAAAGTGTCCTCTGCTCGCCGTTTACAGTGTTAAAAGATCGTTTTCACCGGTATAAGGCCTTTTCTTATCATTTGATTTAGTTATACCGGTATACCGGTACATAAAAAATATCGCCCAACCCTAGTGCATATAGAACAGCGGCCCCCAGGGGAACATGCGCACATGTCTTAAAGTTACAGAACCAACAAATGTATAGATGTAGCCTTTATTTGAAGAATATCTTAGTTATATGTCTAATCAAACATACCTGACCTATGGTCCCATGGACGGTGGTGCCTGTCTTGCATATGCTTTGTATGCAGTCATTTCAAAGTATTTACCCTTTTCTCAAACATTAATTGTGATTGATGTCCACCTCGTTTCTTTCTTCCTTAAAAATAACAAAACACAGTTTAATCTTCATGTCCTATTATTGTTAATTCAACAGAGGTGAAAGTATTATAGTAGCAGAGTTTTTTATCCACATAACAAATACAAAATCGGTAATATTGCTTCACTAAAACTTACACACAAAGTAATACAAGATACATGTGTCAATGTTATGTTTTCTTACATCACGAGCTGGAGCCTGTGTGCTACCAACCTTTCTGTCCATGTCGTGCTCAATAATAATTGTTACAGAAAATGGGGCAATGCATTTTCACTCATAAACAATCATTTGACGTTGAGAAAAATAAGTTATATTAATATTGAAAATTATCAATTTCGATCCATCATTTCACATCAAATTTAACTTTACCTCTAGAAAGCGTCAGACAGTATGTTAAATCCAAATGGCCTGTGTAGTTGAAGCTAACATGACGTAATGCGGACTGAGGCTGTTCTGAAGATTTTCCAGAACTATTTTCAAACCAAAACAAAACACTTACACTGCATAGAAATGTTATTTAGGGTCATGGTGATAATGGGGAAAAAAATGAATCTCTAACTATTATACTAAAAATGCATATACCCCAGCTTTAACAGGGGACAGTTTAGCGCAGCTCTAACTGCTAACACATCTTATTAATGCTAATTTCTGCCATCTCTATTTCAGGAATATCTGACAGAGCAGCTACGTGTGGAGGGTGTGACCCACCTGCCCCGCACAGTGACCAGCGACACTTTGAGCACTGACCGCTACAGCGTGTACACAGAGGGAGGAGTGCTGTTTGTGACCAGCCGCATCCTGGTGGTGGACCTCCTCACGGATCGCATCCCAGCTCACCTTGTCTCAGGTCTACACTGCTTTAAAAATACTTTCATGCTAGTCCTTACAGGCGTATTAACTTCATCTGGTCTTTTTTTTTTCTATAGGTATTCTGGTGTACAGGGCCCACAAAATTATTGAGTCATGCCAGGAAGCCTTTATTCTGCGGCTGTTCAGACAGAAAAACAAAACTGGTTTCATCAAGGCGTTCACGGACAAAGCCACGGCCTTCACCTCGGGGTTCTGCCAAGTGGAGCGCGTTATGAGGAACCTGTACGTCAAGAAGCTCTTCCTCTGGCCCAGGTACAGTGGTTGAAGCAATGCCGTTTCCAGTTCAAGGACTAAAGGTGCTTTCGCACCGACGCTGGAACGCTGACGCCTTGCGCACCAGACACACATTCTCATTTTCAGACGCAGGGGTCCTCACACCAGAAGTCCTGGCCAGCGGTGGCACCCGCCGGAAATGGTGGCAGTAGCTGGCGGACTATGATGCTAATGGAGTTAAGCTAGCGGCTTTTTATGTAAAGTTCTTCTCCAATAATGCAGCTCTGCTGCGTCTGTGTTCAGAGACATTCCAAAGACATTCCAGAGACTTTTTATAACGGCAGTAAGTGTTCACGTAGGTGCACCATACGTTCATTTTATTATTAAATGGTACTTCCATCGGCGAATAGTATACGCTCAAAGCAGTTGCATAAAGTCACGAGAGCATGAAAATGCATATGTTCACAAGCACTGTCCCCGATAGTCAACCCTGGTGTAGTCTTGGTGTTTAAGAGTATGTTTAGTCTGCTCGCTCAGACCGCTAATGTCCCCGTGACCACTTGGCGGCTCTCTGATTGGTCGCTGCACAAACGTCCCGAGGAAACGCTCAGAAATATTTATCTCCTGCGTGCATCGATTTTCCGCTCCTGCTCATTTGCCGCGCAGTCCGTGCGTGCATCTCGAGACGCACATAGTTCGACGCTCGAACGCACGTCACCATTAACTTTGCATTGAAATTTGGCCCGACTCATGATCCGTTGTGAAAACACCATAACACAGAATCTACCTCACAGATTAAATCAATTAGTGCTATCTCAAACAGGCTATTTGCAAATTTGTGAGTAGCAACGACCAAGCAACCAGGAGCCAGTCAGAAGGTACCAGATTGGTTAGTTGTTGGGGCTTGTATCTGGATTGTAAAAAATGACTACAAAATACTGTATAAACACTGTGGTAATGGAGAGCGCTAATCTATGGATTTTAAATAGCCCGAAATGGTGAGGTTGACTTCAGCCTCCCTCTTGTAAGCAATGACACGACCTTTTTCGGGTGGTGTCGTTCTGGGAACGTTGGAACAAGTCTCTTGGAACCACCTCCTCAGGATTTTAGTCCCTGGCAGCATAGTGTTTTAATGATTGGTAGCCTTTGTTACTTTGGTCCCAGCTCTCTGCATGACATTCAGTAGGTCCCACACAGTGGGACACAAGGTTTTCACACAGTGTGTGTAAACCTTGTGTCCTCTAGAGCAGGGGTTCCCAAAGTTTTTAGCCCACGACCCCCATGATAAATGCACTGCTCCCCCACGACCCCCCACCTCAACAGCCCTTCCCGTCGCATAAAATGAGCATGTATTTCCTCGATTCGGAGTAACGCTTTGTACACACATCCCACGTCATGTGAAGCGTAGTGTCACAAACCGAGCTGCACTCGCCAGCCCAAAATAAGAGACTTGCATATTTTTACTCGCAAATTATGAGCTCCCCCCTTAGCAGAGGTGGAGGGCATTTTTTGCGGCTCGCCCTCACTGTTCTCCGACCGCGGTAAAGAGGCCCGGCTTTTTGGAGTCAGCGGTAAAGTGGTCCGCACATTAAAAGCATTTTCTTGGAATTTCCACAGTAAAAGTGAATGTCACTTTGCATAATAGTAGAGGGTTTTTAGTTTTTTTTTAAAGAAGTGCTTTGTGGCGGCTCATCCCCGCGGCTTAAAGCGGCCACCCGCTTTTAATGTGCGGACCTCTTTACCACTGACTCAGAAAAGCTGGGCCTCTTTACCGCGGTGTTCTCTGCTGCCCTCTCAGATGTTCCTGCAGCCTCACCTCTGGCACATGTGATTTTTATGTTGTGGTTATTAACCACGTGTCATTTTAAAGCAGGTATTATTTGTTTGTAGTCTCCAAACATCTTTAGCTTTAGCAAATGGCAGCAGGACATGCTTTGTTGTTGAGCATGATGTAAGCTACGTAACTTGATTTTGATCGACGCTGTCAATGACTGGGACAAAATCACAAACATATATTATAATTTTTATAAAATATTATAATTTTTATAATATTTTTTTCAGACTCTTCTCCAAACACAATTTAACAAGTAGTCCTTCTGAATCAAATCAAATCCAGAATAAATATTTAAGGGCTATATATATATATATATATATATATATATATATATATATATATATATACACATATATAGATATATAATTATTTTTTTCCCCGGAAATCATCTTGTGACCCGCTGTTTTGGTGCTGCAATTCAGACTTTCGACTCCCTCCAACGATTTTCTAGGGGGTCGAGATCTGGAGACTGGTTAGGCCACTCCAGGACCTTGAAATGCGTCTTATGAAGCTACTCCTTCGTTGCCCGGGCGGTCTGTTTGCGATCATTGTCATGCTGAAAGGCCCAGCCATGTTTCATCTTCAATGCCCTTGTTGATGGAAGGAGGTTTTCATTTAAAATCTCAGGATTTATGTCCCCATTCATTCTTTCCTTTACACGGATCAGTCGTCCTGGTCACTTTGTAGAAAATAGCCCCAAAGCATTACGTTTCCACCCCCATGCTTCAGTTTATTTCTACACACCAAGCTGGTTCCCTATTGCAGATTCAGTCTTTCCAGCCTGATGCAGGTCTACAATTTTGTTTCTGGTGTTCTTTGACAGCTCTTGTGCATCTTGGAGCTGTTGTTAAAATAAATGGTGATTGGATGAGTGGAGTAATCTGTGAACCAAACGGTTTACAGCAAGATTTTTAAATTTTTAGAATAATTTATTATTTGAGAGCCGTGTTGTGTCAAATTAAAATCGAGTTGCAACAGATTTTGGAGAGATGTAATATCAGAGTTTGAGTTGTAAATAACTGTCATTGGAGTAGATATTTATGGAGCAATTGAAGTAACGTGTTGAATATCATTAGTAAAAATGGGAAAAAGAATAGGCCTTAATGTAGAGCCCTGTGGCACTCCTTTTCGACTTCAGCTCTCCCAGATTGTCCATCATGTGAAACAACATATTGAAATTGACATTGAAAGTTATGATTTGAACCTAAGAATAGCATTTTATCAAGGCCTAATCATATGAGTTTGATCATTTTGGTGACCACTGTTAATTCCTTGACAAAGACTTTGGACAAATCCAGGAATGTGTCACCCACAAACATAGTATTATAAAAAGAAGAAAAAAAATAATTTGTTAAGTTTATTGAAGCGGCAGTTGTAGAGAACCCTGAACCAAAACCGAAAGGGAGAAAGCAGCAACAGCTTTGCAGAGAGTTGGGAGAGACCAGAGAGATACCAGAGAGACAGACTCAGGTTTGGTTTGGTAAATTTTCTACAAAAACGCTGTAAACTGATCAATATGCCGAAATCAGGAAAAGCAGAGACGAGGCAGCAGGCAGAGGCGGCAGAGGAAGAATTGGTTAGCCTTAGCCGAGTGTATGAGCTACTGGAGCACCAGAAGGATACGTTCAAAGAACTACTGCACCAACATCAAGAAAACTTTAAAGGATTTGTCAAAATAGTTATGGAAACAACAAACACTCGCTTGGACACAATAACTAAGGACATTCAAGAACTCAAAACAAGTCTGAAATATACACAAGGGGAAGTGGACAGTCTCAAGGAGGCACACACAAAACTTACCGAACACAATAAAACACAGCAAACGGAGTTTTATAAACTATGTGACAGCCTGCTAATATTCACGGATAAAATGGAATACCTGGAGGGGCAGAGTCGCCAGAACAATCTGGTGTTTGAGGGGGTGTTGGAGTCTCAGGGGGAGTCCTGGGCTGACACGGAGGCGAAAGTCAAAAAGATCCTGACTGAGAAGCTCCAGCTGCCGCCGACCGTGGAGCTGGAGCGGGTACACCGCGTCGGGAGACCTGACGGGGAGAGATCACGACCTCGACCCATTGTGGCGAAGCTACTTCGCTGGAAGGACCGGGACACTATCCTACACCGCGCGAAACAACTTAAAGGAACGAACATATACATCAACAAGGACTATACAGACGCAGTTAAGAGGAAAAGAAAAGAGCTGATGCCGGAGTTGCGAGCCGCGAGGGAACGGGGGGAGATAGCATTTTTAAGATACGACAAACTGATAGTTCACCCGCGCACCACCAGCACACCAAACCAAGGCAGATAAACGGGACATTCAGCACAACCTCAGTATGCTCGCACTTTTTTTCGCATGGCCACTAACATCACACACAACAGGACACTCTGCTTTGGATCATTCACTCAGGACAATTATTGAAACTTGAGGCTTGGATTACACTTTCTCCCAATATGACACACAGAACACTGAAACAAACATCGACTCGGACACAGAACTTTTTTACAGGACCCAACAACAACTGTCAGTATTACGCTGAACATCGCTTCAACAGTCAAATCATCAACAATAACGCATTCTCCATCATCCATTTCAATAGTAGAAGTCTTTATGCTAACTTCAATCACCATCCATCCATCCATCCATTTTCTACCCTTTAATCCATTTCTGGGTCAGGGGGGTGGCAATCAGAGATGCCACCCAAGTCTCATAGCACCAGTGACTGAAACATGGATTCCCAAGGACAGGGAAACAGAATTTTACATAGAGGGGTATGATTTCATCAGTAAGAACAGACTAAACAAGCAGGGTGGGGGAGTGGCTATGTTCGTTAACTCACATTTAAATTACAAAGTGATTGAAAATAAGACAATGGCAGTGGATAATATTTTAGAGTGTCTTACAGTTGAAATCAAAAGTGAAAAAAATAAAAAAATATTCTTGTTAGTTGTATTTACAGAGCACCTGGCTCAGACTTATATTTCTTTTCTAACTGGATGGAGGAGCATTTCACCAGCTCCAGTCAAAAGTCTGTTTGTGGGCGGGGTTGAGAAAGACTCGTGTGATCAAATAGAAACAAACCCAAGTTCATTGTTTTTGAAACCTGTAGAAGAAAACGAGTTAATAAATATAGTTAGAGGCTTTAAAAACAAAATATCGACTGACTACTGCGACTTGGACATGAGGACCCTAAAGAGTGTTTTTGAAAGTATTTTAAAGCCGTTTAAACACATCTGCAATTTATCACTACAAACCGGACAATTTCCTCAACATATGAAAGTAGCCAAAGTCATTCCCCTGCTTAAATCCGGAGATAAACATATATTTACAAACTATAGGCCTATTTTACTTCTGCCACAATTTGGAAAATTGAATGTAAAACAATCAAAATTGTGGCAGAAGAAAACATTTTTAATTCCAGACTCAACAGCTTTATTTAAAAATATAATTTACTCTGTGACAATCAGTTTGGTTTCAGAAAAAAATCACTCAACTTCACATGCACTGTTTGACATAACTGAAGAAATTACTAAAGCTATAGACAATAAGAAAACCGCAATTGGACTATTTTTTTGACCTCAGTAAAGCATTTGACACTATAAACCATGACATATTAATTAAGAAGCTTGATCGCTATGGGATCAGGGGGGTGGCATTACAGTGGGTTAACAGTTATCTAAAAAACAGAAAGCAATATGTAAAACTGGGTGATTTTCAATCAAGCTGTTTAGAAATGGTGTGTGGTTCACCTCAGGGTTCCATTCTAGGTCCAAAACTGTTTAATTTATACATAAACGACATAAGTAAAACATCTACAATACTGAAATTTATCTTGTTTGCTGATGATACGAATATTGTTGCATCTGGTGATAATTTACATAAGCTGTTTCAAACTGTTAATCTAGAACTCGAAAATGTCAGTTATTGGTTCAAACTAAACAAGTTATCTCTAAATTTAAGTAAAAGTAAAATCATGGTATTTGGCAAAGGTAACTCCAACACTCAGGAAGTGATTCAGATAGAGGGTATTGTTTTAGAAAAGGTGCAAGAAATAAAATTTCTCGGAGTCATAATAGACAACAGACTAACTTGGAAACAACACATTAAATACATATCCACTAAAATATCAAAAAGTATCTCAGTAATAGCAAAAGCAAAGTACATCTTAAATTTCAAAGCTCTACACACTTTATACTGTTCTCTGATTCTGCCATATCTGAATTACTGCTCTGCCATTTGGGGAAACACTTACAAAAACACAGTAAAATCATTAGTTATGCTGCAAAAAAGAGCCATTCGAATCATTAACAAAGTGGGATTTCGAGATCATACGAACCCATTATTTATAAATTCAAAGATTATGAAGTTTTATGATGATGTTGAGTTCCAGACTGTACAGTTGATATATAAAGCAAGACATAAACATTTACCCAAACAAATACAGAATAGGTTGCAAGAGCAAACTAGTCTTTATAAAATACGAGAAGAACTAAACTTTATGGTCCAGAGGCACAGCTCAACTCTGAAAAGTTTTAGCCCCACAGTCAATGGGGTTCAACTGTGGAACATGTTGGAGCGGGAGATGAAACAAAGTTCAAATATTAATCTGTTCAAATTTAAATATAAACCAAAGACTTTCAACAAGTACAAAGAGGAGGAAGTTATACGTCACTAGGGGGCGCAATCGGGCTAAACGTGGTTTTTGTTTTTTTATTTTTTATTTACTTCTTTTTGTTGCTTATTATTGTTATTGTCTTTTTACTATAGCCATTAGGATCATTGTGGACCTTGAAGAGTGATGTTGCTCTAAACAGTTGCCATTATTTGCCGTAACTGTTGCTGTTATTGTCTGTTCTTTTTTTTCTTTTTTTGTCATTTTATACATTTTGCATAGTTGCTGTGTAAAATGTGTTTCTGTTAATGTAGTGTTTTGGGGGTGGGCACCAATAAGCTCTTGCTTCGGCCCACTCCTTTTGAGCAGTACCTGTCTGCTCAAATAAAGAAGAAAAAAAATATATATATATTGAAATCATTAATGTAATGATTTAATTGCTGGAAGATAATTTTTTTCAAAAACTTAGTAGCTGCGCAGATGAAGGTTATGGGCTCTATGCACGCACCACTTCTGCGTTTTAGCTAAAGCCCCACCTCACTTCCTGTTGGCGGGAAACGGCTTGAGTTTCACTGGAGTTAAGCACTTTACACGAGTTTCCCAAATAATGCTCGAACGGCAATTAAGCTGTGAGGATACGGGCATTTTTGGGACACAGCAGTGCACTTTGATTGTGCTGTCATTGTGTTTTTATAAAGTTAACTAATCTCTCTGAGTGGCCACAGTCAAAGCTATTCCTCAGAGAGAACGGGCTGATCTGCGTTAACAGGAAATGACGTCACGCCTCCCCGTGCATATAGCCCATTGGCCTGGTTATTCAGATCAGTAGAATCACCTCCTTTGAAAACAGGAGTGACTCTGGCAGTTTTAAAAATTGATGGAATTGTTTAGGTTTTTATTGACATATTAAAGAGCGACTAAACACCTCTGACCAGCCTTACTCCGCTCACATGAACATTTGAAAATTTTCTCTTAAGAGGGCGTTGCCTGGAGGACCGAGGGACAAGAAGGGGCTTAAAGATGGCTGAGGTTTGGGCTGATTGACAGCTCACTTGTCACACACAAAAAAAACCCAGACAGTTATCATTTCTGCTTAAAGGAATAGTTTACACACCAGAAATTCTCATCCCATCCTTGTTTGCACAGTAAAATAATTGTAGTTACACACCTGAAACAATTCCACAGAATTATCTCAGCAGCAGTGATTGCCAACTCATGTAATTTAATTTTAATCCACTAGATGTCGACAGAATACTCCAACCTGTTCCTTGGGAGTGTGTGAGAGTTGAATGGGTTTATATCACTGCCGCAGAGACGCACATCACACACACCAACTGACGTCACACAGTAGTACACAGTCAATGGAGAGGCCAGGACCAAATTCAAATATAGTACCACCAAAAAGGTTGACACACAGACGTTTTTAGGCTCAAAAGTGAGATTTTATATAATTTGCACAAAAATGTCAAAAAAAGGACCAGGATATGTAGAGAGCACTACAATAAACATATTTATGCAGTTTATGAGTAAAAAAAAAGTTGATTTGGTGTGTAGTCGCTCGTTAAAGAGATTGGCTAAAGGAAATATTAGGACATGAGAGCCATTTTCAAAAACTTAACCTCAAGATTGTCTGGACCAGCACCACAGTTTGGTTTTAATTAATTCAGACGAGTAGAAACGGTAAGTGGTGATATTTTTGAAAGAGGGACCACCACGAGATGTATTTTTGCAATCACCAAACCAGAGTAGTTAAGAATTATTTTGTTTATGGAAGAGAAATGTTCATTGAATGCTTGGGATATTTCAACTGGATCAGATATAGTTTCATTATTTACCTCCACATATTTAAATAATTTATTTTTAGATCTGTTGAAAACCAGATCAAGATGGGCCCAGATTTTTTTTGGGTTATTCATGTTTTGAGCAAACCTTTCTTTTAAATTTTCACATTTTGCATTCCTTGTTTGTGTTGTGCAATGCTTTCTGAGTGATTTGTAAGTTTCCAAATCAGCCGGATGCTTTGTTTGTAGAGAAAGAGACAAAGCATGGGAGGCACACAAACAGATGAAGAAAAGTAGGGCTGATCCATGGGAGGTATCGACCATTTTGAAAGGGGCATGATGTTGGGGAATTCAGAGTGAACACATCCCATTGGTTCGAGGGGGGGATGAATGTATGTTATTGTAAACTTTAGGGTGGAATACTGTATTTTACAATGTATTCACTTTTGCATTCTTACAATTATATTAATTTCAAAATGTATATGTACTGTAAATGGTATGCTTAAATTAACAATATGCTGCAATTTTTTTTCAACTGTCATGAGGGCAGATTCCAGGCATCTGTGAACTCCACTCTGGATAGACACAAGCCTGAGGTGGTGGAGCTTCACGTCTCCCTGACCCCGGCCATGAGGGCTATCCAGAGCTCCATCATGGACATCATGGACGCTTGTCTGAAGGAGCTCAAGCGCTACAACCCCACGATGGAGGCGGAGGACCTTAACCTGGAGAACTCCCTGGGAAACGCTTTTGACAAGGTGCACTACTTAAAAAACTAAAAAAATAAGTTGATTTGGTTTTAAGTTCTTTAACTTGCAAAACTATATAAATACGTTTCTTATAGTGCTCTCTACATATCCTGTTCAATCTTTTGACATTTTTGTGCAAATTAAATAAAATCACACTTTTAATAACAAATGTGACCTTTTAAAAAAAAAAATTACCCCCACCATGTTTATGGATTGTTTTCATAGGCGTAGAATTTCACTTATAAATGTCCATGAGAGAGGATTGCTCTGTGTCGATGTGCCATCGTGAAATGCAGTGGTGGATAAGGGACAAAAAGGACAAAAAGAATTATAGTTTTTGAGGAAGTGTCGGTCTTGTACAGAGAGATCATGGACACAGTGACTGATCGTAATGATTATGTTTGTAATTATATTGATTATTATTTTTTAGACACGACTTGTGAAAGTAATGCTGTTATTAGGAAATACCCACTAGATCCTGTGACATAATCACATTTTAGATCCTGAAAGCAACCAATTCCCAACAAATCACTTTACCCCGACATTACTTACAAATCTATATTCACAATCTACACTTGTATAGATTTATGGCTACAGTGGTGCAGAGTAGAGCCGGTCATCTTGTGATTGGAGAATTGGCGGTTCAAATCACGCAGGTGCACACTGTCCTTGGGCAAGACACTTCACCCTCTTTGCCTCCAGCGTCTGCATACACTGGTGTATGAATTGGTGACTGGTTCCTCTATGTAAAGTACTTTGAGTGCCTAAAGCAGGTAGAAAGGTGCTATATACATTTTCATTCAGAATTAATTTTTTGTGCAATACAGCAAATATATGTATCACGCAAATTTATTTACACTGCATTATTATCAATATTGTGGTGGGCTCTCGTGGTGGTAGCTGAGACTGAGGTCCTACCCACACATCTGGTTCATTGCTAGATATGTGTCCTAGCTGACTCATGTCTGCTTGCTGAAAACATTTTAGTTCTTATTGGCATGCAGGCATGTCAGAAACAAAGCTATAATATAACCCTGATTATCTTGCATACTGTTCAGTGAATGAACATGCAAACAATAGAATGTGTACATTCACACTATCAGTCATGCAAAATATGTTAGTGACCACATATTTATATTCTGGATATTGTTGTTGTATATCAACTTCTGGTGTTTGTTTTTCACCTTTTGTTCTCTTGAAAAATCGTGACCTGTGTCTGCTCACTGCCTCCTTTTTGTCCAGAGGGGGCGGGTCCCAGCTCAAATGTCCAAAATTATGTGCACTGACATGCGCATGTTGTCATGAGAGAAGGGAGGATGAGATAACCTCTCAACAATTATTGGCTGATATAAAACATATTTCCTTTACAATCTACATGTCTACAGTTGGGGATGGGTCAAAAAGTGTGTTTTTGAAACAATTATGGGTCAGCCTCAGGGTAGGGGTTGCATGTAAGCGCAGAATTCACCTTCATACAATTCCATCAGAAAGCTCCTTTCTTGTTCTTCATCCGCTAAGGGCAGCAACAGGTTTGGCTAACATACATATAACACATTTTAAGATAATTTAAAATGCACTTAGGGTAATGTTTCAATGACGATCGGAATGAAAGAGGTTTTGCTGCAGCTAGGAGGAGAGACCCATTTTGTTTTACTTTTTATAAAACTCATTGGACTTATTTCCAAATGCAGGATTACATATCTACACTCAAAATATTAAACATGAAACCGGTCTGAACTGGTGGTCTGTGCAGTTCATGTTTAAGGTGAGGCCCATAACACACTTTTAAATGTGCTTTTTCATACTTTTGCGTTTTGTATGAGCAAACAATGCAGGCATGAAACATATTCTGCCCAACACCCAGGACAACTGATGTACAGTACAGACCAAAAGTTTGGACACACCTTCTCATTCAAAGAGTTTTTTATTTTCATGATTATGAAAATTGTAGATTCACACTGAATTAACTCATGTGGAATTATATACTGACTAAGTCATTTGTGAAACAAATGAAAATATGTCTTATATTCTAGGTTCAAAGTAGCCACCTTTTGCTCTGATCTGATTACTGCTTTGCACACTTTTGGCATTCTCTTAATTAGCTTCAAGAGGTATGACCTGAAATAGTCTTCCAACAGCCTTAAAGGAGAAGGAGTTCTGAGAGATGCTTTGCACTTGTTGGCCCTTTCACCTTCACTCTGTGGTCTAACTCACCCCAAAATCATCTGGATTGGCTTCAGGTCCGGTGACTGAGGAGGCCAGGTCATCTGGCCCTGCACCCCACCACTATCCTTATTGGTCAAATAGCCCTTACACAGCCTGGGTGTGAATCTACAGACAATAGTCATGAAAAGAAATTCACTTTCTCATTGAATGAGAAAGTGTGTCCAAACTTTTGGTGTGTAATGCATGTGCCGCATCGCTGGCAAAGCAGAAGAGTCACCCTAGGGAACAGCATCCAAAAACAGTAACTGCGGTGCAAGAGCGGAGACCAAAAAGTTGTTGCTGCTATTTTCATAGTTCTATACGATCTAAAGGCTTCAATATGTAGCACCAGAATGTACAGTGCTCACTGCTCAACAAAAGTTTTGGACCACCATGACAACATAAAGAACTTAGTAATACTATATCAAGAACTTCAAATTAACAGTATCATTTTTAATTTAATATTAGGAAAATATTCTATAGGAATAACGAAATAGTCCTTGTTAAGTCTGGAATTATTTCAAATCCAGCTTCAGATTCATTCTTATTTAACCACTATAGAAATGAAAGATATATTATTTTATTTTAAACACTTGGTGCTGTAAAACATTTGTTAAGGACTGAATTGTTATACATCTGCTTTATTATTTTTTATTCATGTGAGTTTTTTATAAGTTAGCTCTTGGGCTAAATAAATGTTTTTGTTAAATTTGTAAAAAAGTTATTTCTTGTTCACCACTTTAAATCTGAGTTAGATTTCTAAGTTTGAATTACTGTAAAAAGTTTATTTACAGAAAGAGCCCATATTGCTGTATCGATATATCGTTCAAAATCTACTGTATTGAATTGTATCGTTTTAAAAATTAAGATATCGTTTTTTTTTAAATCATTTGCTCTCATATTGACACGGATCGTATCGTTCTAAAAACGTATCGTTACACCCCGATGCAGAACATATCTGTCTTTGAGCTTAATGTCTCTGTACATTGTCCCTTCAAATTAAGACTAAATATTCTCAGTTAAATCCTTGTGAAGGTAACATTTTACAAAATGGACTGTTTAAAATCGACGGCACTACTTATCCTCTTAACATCCGCCTCATTTTGGCTCGTGCACAATGGTTGGGCATACCCAAATGTCTTTGCTTATTTAAAAACACATCTTACATCTCACATGCTTGTGTGATGCATCATTTTAAAGCTAGAGCCTTCTAGTTTATGTAAAAAAACACTAAAATAATGTTTGTCATTCCTATTTTCCTCTGCATCCTTTGAAGTTAGGGAAAAAAACCCAATTCTTTTAGCCTCGCCTAACATTTTCAATTTCTAAAGGCCCTAAAAAAGGCATACTTCATTGTAAGTTCACAATATTCAAACCCTCTGTTCATTGTGTTGTTGACAACTGTCTAAAGTTTCAGACTTCTAAGTTTTATAGTTTTTATGCAGTTTCTCCTTTTCATCAAGTAGTGCACATTTGGCACAAGTGTGCCAAATTGTGCCAAATATCTTTACTTACATTTAATCATCATAAAAACAATATTTTTTATTATTGGTACTTATAAGTTACTAATCTATGTGTGTTTTTCTTTTTTAAATGTCAAAGTTATTTTTTTATGAGTGTAAATTCATTGCAGTTTCGAGAGCGTCTTTTGGCTTCCATTACGCACAATTGTCCAGGCACAACATAAGACAGGACACCATTGTCCCACCCCTTGTTCGAAAGCTTTCCTCATTGGCTACAAGGACATGTCAATTGTAAATCCCGGAAGTAAAAGCAAACAAGTTGGGATCACAACAAAGATCAGTCAACTATGCGCAAACAGCAGCACGAGCGGTACTTGCGGGAGCTCTTGCAGACCCAAAAATTGGTTTAGCTTTTCGGGAGTAGTCTCATTTGAAAGATAAGGAGCTAAGGAACACGTAGATACCAGATGTTTGGGTGAAAAACAAAGCTAAAAGTCCGTTAAAAGTGAAAGAGTAACATCTGTGCTCTTTTTTTTCGTTTTTTTCGCTAAAGATAAATGCACATTTTTGGATTATTTCTGCAGAATGGATTTTACTTTGGGAAATACAAGTGGATATAATTTTCCTTTGGACTGTTCCAGAGAGAATGATGTATTGCAAGCTGGGAGGAGAGCTGATTTATTTGTACAGCACAAGCCCAAAGGTAAAAAACTATTTCGGAATTGATTTATTTTGTGCCCACATTATGTGTTATATCTTTTGAATGCAAAGTCTGATGTAGTTTACACTTGTATATAAATGTAGATAAGAAAATAAGCTTTAAAATTATATACAGCTTTTGGGGTTTGGTGTTCAAAATACATCTGCTATTGCCAGCAGAACATTTAAAAACATAAAAGCCGCCGCCGGCGCGCCGGTTGTTGTTAAGTGGATGAATTAAAACTACATTCATATTAATGTTATAAAGCTGTATCTGCCTATTGTTAGTGATTCCATGCCATGTGCTCAACTCAACCTAACATAATGGCCCATTTCCCCCATAGACTGTCATCCAATTTTTCAAAACTCTAAATAAGGACAATGAAACGGCACTGTTCAAACCACAGACTAAATATTATTAAACAAAAAGTAGTGGATTACCTTCGAATCAAAGACATGTATTGCAGCTCTTGCATTAAACCGTAATCACATGCAACACTGATGACGCTGTCATCCACTTTAGCGGACGCTCTCCCACCTGGAGCCCGCCGTCTGTGAGGGTCATGTTTTTTGACTTCTCCAGTGCTTTCAACACCATCAGGCCAGCACTGCTGCGGGGGAAGATGGAGGACGCGGGAGTGG